TGTGTATGGTAAAGCAATTTCGTGTCCCCCTTGGAATACAGAAAATCTCTAGAAAATGTTAAATTGCTCTTACGTGTGAGCAAAGAGTTCATGATCTTCTAGGATTGTAACACTGATGAGGAAAAACTGTCCGAGGCTGAGTCAGGCAGCATATTAATAGTTGTTGAAGCCTGGATGGTGGGACATGGGAGTTCATTGACTATCCTTTCTGCTCTTGTAAATGTTTGAAAAGTTCCAGAATGAGAAGTTTAAGGAAAAAAGAAAAAGTTGTATGTACTCTGTTCTTTTAACTCTTATATGCCTCGGTCTCCCGATGCTGGGCCCTAAGCCCCATTCTCCAAGGAGAGGGCCCAGGAGGCCGAGGTCACCACGGACCTCACTGTCGCTAAGGCCAAATGGCCCTTCTGCTGATCAGCCTCTGCGGCTCTGGAGCCTTCTCCTAAAATGCCCTTTCTTTGATGTCTTCAGAACCAGCCTGTCCTGAGCTCTCCCCCTCCCCAAACTCTTTCTCCACCCTTTCGTTGGACCCTTGGCCTCAACTGGGCCTTGAAATGCCTTTCTTCCTCGTGGTCCGGGCCTTGTTTTGCCTCTTCTCCTCCCCGCTCCCATCAGCTCCCTAGACTTAGCTGCCTCCCAGGTCAGTGATCGTCCCACCTGGAGCTCATCAGCGTCCCTCACCAAGTCCCTGCCCCTCCCCACCCCAGTGATGAGTGGGCGCTTAGTTACCCTGGAGGGGCTCTGGAGTTATTCTTGCTTCCTCTCCACACTGTCAGTCCTGCCAGCTGTCCTTTCAGTCCCTATTTCCCATCTGTCTCGTCCCTGTTCTCACAACACTAACTTAGCTATGCACCTTCTTTGGCCTCAATTGGACCATTGCAGTAACCCCCAGCATCTCGCTTCTTGACCCTTTTGTTCCACCAGGAGGAACTTTTTAAAACATGTTGGATGGGGTCGCATGCCATATACAAAGTTTGGAAGGTTCAGAGAAAGGGCCAGACTCCTGGTGGGGCACAAGGAGCTCCGAAGACCAATTCTGGACTGCTGCACCACCTCCAGGCAGCCACCTGTGGCCTCTGCGCCACGGGATACACACAGGATGACCGGGAGTTCTTCCAGACACTCTCTTACCTCTGTGCCTTTGCTCATGCTTATTTGAGGGTTCTTTGAACCATCCACTGCCCTTCTCACCCCGGTGAGGTCCTTATTAAGCTTAAAGATGCAGCTCAAATCTCATGGAAATAAGACAGTGGCCTTCTGAGGATGGACTCTTGTCTGTTTGTGTTTTCATCTCTGGTGCCTGGTACAGAACAGTGGCTCAGAAGGTATTTGTGGAAGTGAATTAAATATTTTTTTAAATAGACGTCTTTAATACTATCACATATTTCATTAGAACATGAAGCCAACTGGCAACTGTATTTGTTTCCTGTGGCTGCTGTAACAAATTATCATGAACTTAGAGACTTAAAGCAACACGGATTTATTCTTTTACAGCTCTGGAGGTGAGAAGTCTAAAATGCATCTCACAGGCTAAACTAGTGGCCCCGGCAGGGCTGTGTCCCTTTTAGAGACTCCAGGAGAAACTGTGTCCTTGCCTTTCTTGGCTCATGGCCCCTGCTCCTGTTCTTTCACTCGTAAGGAGAGTGCCTCCTTCTGTTACAGGGCAGTGAAAAACTAGGAAAATTCCAGGGCAGGTGCAGTAGGAGAGCTAAGACAAAAACTTAAAACAAGGCCAGACAGTGTGGGCAGTTTGCAGCCAACTTGTAAACTGCAAGCCCTTGTCTTTCCCAAGGACACTTGAAAGCAAATGGTTAATGACTCTTCAACTGAAAAATGCAGGAAAGGTGTGGAGAAGAGAAAAACAAGGAGAAAATGAACAAGAACAGGGTTATCTTTTTCCTCCCTCAACAAGAGGCCAGCAGTCAAGGCCTGGCAAAAGGAAACTGCCAGGTGCTTCTCGTGAATTCTGGGAAGGCCACAACAAAATAAGAACCTTGAGAATTAATCTGTACCAAGATATTCAACAAAAATGTTTTTAAACCTATGGACAGGAGAATATAGAACGCCTTGAACCCCCACTCAACTCCCTAGAATTTGGGTGGCCTGAATCCCAATTCATTGCCCTTTAGTTGGTTCTTTACTGTCTCTGAGAGGGGACAGACACAGTTGAGACCTGTCTGATAACTACAGCTCCTATCCTTTGTCCTGACCTCCTTTGTGGTACAGAAGTTAAATACTGTAATACGCATTTAGACACAAGCAAGGTCCTGAGGGCCAGAGGGCCCGGCAGGCTTCTGGGCTGGACCGCACGGAGTAGAAGGGGAGGTGCGGTCCCGACAGTGCAGGGAAGCTGGCGGTCAGCAGGCCAGGGAGAAGCCCTGAGGGGACATGGAGTCCCACCGCTCTGGAGCAGACGGGAGGGCTCCTCAGTTGGAGGAATGATTCTGGAAGAGTTGGTAGGATAAGTTTTAGAAATCCTAAAATCCAAAGATTTTTGGACTTTCCATGGGTGACCCTAGGGCTTTGCGGAGATTTGGCCTCAGAACAGTGGAGGCTGTACATGGAGTTTGAAGGAAAGGAGCTGTGTGTGGTGAGACATTGTGTGTATGGCTCTAGGATCCGTGTGGGGAAGAGTAGCCAAGGGGAGGGGCTGCCCTTGGGCACGGGCTCCCAACGCGATGCCTCCTCTTCATCTCGTTCTTAAGTAGTATGTTGCCTTGATGGAGGGTGAGACTAGGACGAAAAGGCCTCCAGACCACAGCCTGGAAGAAGGCTGTGCTCACCCCTCACGGTCTGGGCCCCGCTCCTCGCTCAGACCCACCCCTGAGCCCACTGTCCCGGGACCCACTCACGCCTCTGACCACGGGCCAGCTCTCCCACCGGGGGGGTGCTGCAGGCCTGTGCTTCGGGAAGGACGGAGCCCTCGGGACCCGTTGTGGCCAGGCCTGGACTGGGGACTGGGGACGAGAAAGGCACAAGTCATCCTCAGGGAGCTGCAAGGAGCTGTGGGAAGACAGACTCATAAACAGACACGTGTGGTACCGAGGGCACTGTAGGAGGAGCCATGGCAGCCCCAGGAGGGGTGCCCACCAGCTTCAACTGAGACCTGAACCTCGACAAGGGCGTGGAGACGGCTCGAGCGAAGGGGCAGGGAGGCGAGAAACTGCTGGTGCTCGCTCGGTGCTAGGGCTGGTGAGGAAAGGATGGGTGGGTTCAGGACGTTTCAGGAGGTAAAACAGGCTGAACATGGGGGCTGGGTGAGGGGGTGAGAGAGGACATGAGGAAGGAGGAGAAGGTTGGGAGGTCAGGCGAGGACAGGCTGAGGTGAGAGTGCCTGCGGGCAGCCAGGTGGAGATGCTCTGACCTGGAGCTGTGCTCAGGGGCAGCCTGGGGGGCAGCCTGGGGCATGGCAAGGTGGTGGGGACAGACTTCCCCTGCTGGGCCCTCTCGGTGGCCAGTTGCCTCCAGTGCATCCATCCCTGAACCTTTCTAAGGATGCCAAGGGTATTTTGGGGAAACGTATCAATCACAGTCTGTGAGAAGACCGCCAGTTCTTACATGGAGAGAAATAATTAGAAATAGATTCATCCGTGGTTATATCTGCAGACATTATCCTGGCTTAGCAACAAATGCAAAGAAATCATTGCGATCCATTACCAGGCGGGTACATCTGGGCATTTATTTTTCATAAACACTCTGATCTTTAAACTACTGTCCTCCAGTAATACCAGTGAGAAATTCAGTAGTGTCGTGTGGTTCTTTTGAAGCCAGGTAATGTCACAGTAATTATCCCTTTCATCAGTGAAATAGACGCGAAAGCCAGCCCCAGCTGCACGCTCACTGTGGGGTCTGAGCTCACCCTGCGGTCGCCCTGAGCGCTGGAGTGAGATGTGCCGAACAGAACCCAGTGCCCAGGGCAGGATCTCAGCCTGTGGTGTCTCTTTGTTCCAGCCCACCTGTGGCTGCCCGTCAGCTTCCTCCAGCAGCTGTGGGCCACCCCTCCTCCGTGCACGTTTACATGTCAGAACCTGTTGTTTTGTTTCTGCTACCCCACTGTTTGTCACAATATCACTCATGCAAATCCATGTTCTTCTCAAGCCTGTTTTCTGTTTTACAATCATAATGTTTGTTTCTCTAGATTGAAGGTTTCTATAAAATCCAGTTTTCATTAAGGGTTGTTAGAGAGTCCAAGACTGCCATGGACCAGGTTTGGGGAACACTGTACAGGTGTACCTCACTTTATTGCACTTTGCAGATATTACATTTTTTATAAATTGAAAGTTTGTGGCAACCCCTTGTCAAGCGAGTCTTTTGGCGCTGTTTTTCTTAGGCTCAGATGAAGATTAGCATTTTTGGCAATAAAGCATTTTTAACTAGGGTATGCACATTATTTTTGTAGACATAATGCTATTATACACAATATACTACAGTATATTGTAAACATAACTTTTATACACACTGGAAAACCAAAAATTTCGCGTGACTCGCTTCATTATGGTGGTCTGGAACTGAACCTGCAATATCTCCAAAGGATGCCTGAAACATGGCTAGAGGTAAAAATGACAAAACTGAAGCTGCCCTACTTCAGGCACATCATGAGATTGCAGAGTTCTTTGGAAAACACAGTAATGCTGGAAAAGAAGAAGACCAGCTACGAGATGGATTGACACCATTATAGAAGCCCTAGGCCTGAGTCTATAGGAGCTGAGCAGGGCTGCTGAGGAGGGGACATTATGGACATCACGCAGTCATAAGGTCACCAGGAGTCAGAGCCAACTCAGCGGCACGGAACACACATATGCCTGTAGTTATTTTACTCAGAAATGAATTCCTAATATCCATAAAACTGTTCCTCTGTGTTAGGTAGCCTTTGAAACCTTTTTTTAACCATTGCCTACTGTTTACCACTGACATACGGGCTACTAGCTCAGTTAACATGCTCCACCAGAATGTGTTGGTCAAGCTTCCTTTTTGTAATGTACTGATAAATTTTGTTTGCACAGAGATTTTGCTTATGTAGCAAGAGACAAAGATACAAGAATTTTGAAATGTCATGTATTTCGATGTGACACACCAGCCAAAGCCATCGCCACAAGTCTCCACGAGATCTGTTCCAAGGTAAGGGTGGTCAGGGCCAGTGGCTCATCCCTCTCTTTTCTCACTGCTGAGCAGGGGAAGGGGTGTGAAAGGGTGGGAGAGTGGGCACACGGACCTGCCACCGAGGTCCCGAGAAGCAGGCAGACCATGTGCTAGGCTAGCTGCATGTCAGGCATTGCTGTAAAAGGCACTCCATCTGCAGAATGATAGAGCTTAGTCCCGCCCAGTCTGGGGGTATAATAGGCGGACAGAATAGTGGCAGATGCCGTGGTAGAGATGTCTGCATCAAGCCCAGCTGGAAACTGGGCAGATTTCCCAGGGACAGGGCACCTGATCTGAGAGCAACCACATCACCCGCTGGCTTATGTTCAAATAGTCAGCCAAACCCCCAGGACACTGTCACCAACTTCCTTCAGCCAGGCCTTTCCACAGGACTTTGCCATCACCTCTGCCAAACATCACCTTTCGGGTTTTGTGCTGACTTCATGACCCAGCCTCACTTTCAGTTTCTCCTGAGCTAGCGAAGCCCAGGCCACGGCCACGGCCACCACATGGCCCAGGCTGGTATCTGATCAGCTGGTAACTGTGGTTCCAGCCACAGTTCCTGCAGGAGGGGTCGGGCCGGAAGCTGTCCCAGCTTGCTGCTCTGACCCACATGGCAAGGACACGCAGATGGGTGCTGGTGTAGAATTGCTGGAGACAGGGTTTTGTCATCACAAACCCAAGCTGTGTTTCCTCCTCTTCAGATTATGGCTGAACGGAAGAATGCCAAAGCCCTGGCCTGCAGCTCCTTACAGGAAAGAACCAATGTGAACCTCGACGTTCCCTTACAGGGTAGGTTGGTGGCGGCCACTCTCTTCACAGGTGGCGCTCTCCTAGTCAGGAACCAAAAGGTCTCAGTTCCCTGGTGTTTCTCATCTCCTTAAAACCACGCTCAAGTCCACCAGCACATGCTGAGCGTGCACATGTGCCCCCTGCCCCCATGGCACAGAGTTGATTTGTGTCAGTGGGATTAGGCATAAAGGACCAAGACGAGCTTTGTTGTTGGACAAGATTAAAAAATACTATCCTTAGTGGTTTTCTAACTCATCTGCAGCCTAGGGTAAGGACCAGCTAGTTAAAAAACATGTGTGTTGATATTTTGGGGGGCTCCGTTTAGTTCTTTTCCCTGATTGCACCCTTTGTGATTAAATTTTCTCTCGGCATAAACCACACCTTCCACATAGGACATTAAAAGCTGTTACGTAGCACACGTCAAAGAGACAGTAACAGCTTCACACATAGATTCCAGGTCCTGCCTTCAAATGTGTCTCTGCCTAGAAATGAAAATTGAATGGGGTTTTGATTGACGGAGCCCCAGCGTCTGTTCTTATAGAACAGTGGCCTTATTTACCTCTAGAAACAGGATGGTGTGGCACAGGGAACGTGTCCCAGGTGACACAGAGGGATGGCTGTTTTTATGTGTGTGTCAGAACCACAGAGAAAGATGTGTTGCTTTTGTTCCCTGTAGTAGATTTTCCAACACCAAAGACTGAGCTGGTGCAGAAGTTCCACGTGCAGTACTTGGGCATGTTACCTGTAGACAAGCCAGTCGGTATGTGAAACGTTTATCTCTTTCCACTTTGCGGGTGTTTGGGAGCTCACAGGAGGTGTTCGCCCTCCCAAAAGGGTGGGTCTGCTGGTTTCCCCCCTTTCCTTGTCTTGAATCAGGCCCTTGCACTGTCACCAGCCAGAGCACACAGCCAGTTCTGATCAAAAGAGCAATGAGGACAGGCAAGCTGCTCTGGCATTTTGATCCCCAGAATACAGGGCACGTATTTCTCATTTACCCAGCATTCCAGAGAAGCATGATCCAGGGCTTTGCCATTCTCAAATGGGGCTTTCATCTCTAGGGCCAGGGTACCTGCTTCAGTCCTTGTCAACTGCTTGCCCGGGAGGAAGGGCTGAGGGAGCCCTCATGCTTTCCTGTCAAGGTGACCCAGCAGCAGCATACACAGCAGTCAGCTTGCATCCCAGGGGCAGAACCTAGTTGCTTGGCCACAGCAGGCTGAGAGGAGGTGGGAGTTGGCACCTTTACCTGGATAGAAAAGGCTGTGGAGCGTCAGGACCCTCATGTACTGCTGGGTGTAAAATGATGCAGCGCTGTGGGAAATAGCCTGGCAGTTCCTCAGAAGGTTAGACAGAGTTACCATTTGACCCAGAAATTCTGCTCCTTGGCATATACCCAGTGAAATGAAAACATTCGTCCACTCAGAAATGTGTACGCGAATGTTCACAGCAGCATTATCGTCACAGTCAAAGAGTAGAAACAACCCAGATGTCCGTCAGCCGACACATGGATAAAGGGAATGTGATGCTGCTAGACAGTGGGATTGTACTGGCAAGGAAAAGCACTGGCACACGCTGCCCCACGGATGAGCCCTGACAACACGCTAAGTGAAAGAAGCCAGTCACAAAGGTCCACAGACGCTGTGATTCCTGTCTGTGAAGTGTCCAGGGTAGGCAGATGTCTGGGTGGAAACTGTTTGCCTAGGGCTAGGGGGCTGGGAGGAAATGGAGGGTGACTCCTAACAGGTACAGGGTTTCTTTTAGGGCTGGTGAAAATTTTCTAAAGTCAATTGTAGGGATGGTTGTATAACTGAATATACAAAAAAACCCATTAAATTATACACGTTAACTTTTTTTTAAAATCCTCACCTGAGGATATGTTTTACTGATTTTAGAAAGAGGAAAGGAAGCGAGAGAGAGAAGCGTCAAGGTATGAGAGAAACATCAGTTGGTTGCCTCCCACACACACCCCCACTGGGGATCGAACCCACAACCTAGATATGTGCCCTGACCGGGAATCGAACCCGCAGTCTTTAAGTGTATGAGACAGTGTTCCAACCAACTAAGCCACACTGGCCAGGGCAGAATTACACACTTTAAATGAGTGACTTGTATGCTATGTGAATTATATCTCAGTAAAGTTATCTCATTCCCCTGAAAAACAGCTGTGGGAACACGCAGCAAAAGTGCCCCATTGAAAAGCTCATAGAACTTTTGTAAGGGTGCCACCCACACTTGGCTTTGTTTAAGTAACAAAGTAAAATGAAGGGAGGTTGGGGTATTCTGGCGGATGCTGGCTTCTGTTGGGTCCCCTTTCCCAAGGCTCTGTGCTTAGAAAACGTTGCATTTACTTGAGTACTGTTTACACACTCAAGGCTGGGGAACCTTTAGAGAGAGAGAGAGAAAAGAGTACGCGGTCCAGTCAGACAGGACATCACACACTGCATCTTAGCATTCTCTTGACCCTGCTTTCTGACTTTTTTTTTTAAGCAAACATGCGAAATGAAATGTCTTCTGAGGCTATAAAAAAAAGATCAGCCTGGATGCAGATCTGACTGGGTGATTCGGACCCACATTTGAAAGAGATAAATAACTTTAGGACCTTTTTCAATTATTCCTTCAATCCATTCAGGAATGGATACCCTGAACAATGCCATAGAATGTCTAATGACCTCGTCCAACCAGGAGGATTGGCCATCAGTGAACATGAATGTGGCTGATGCTACTGTGACTGTCATCAGTGAAAAGGTAAGAGGGATCATAGGTGCAGTTGGCCTATCTGGGTCACAGTGAGGTTTGGATACAATAATCTTCCATGAAACTTAGGCACGTAGCCAAAGCTTGAGCTCTGGGGAGCTGTGCTTGCTTATGATTAAAATAGCCTACATTAAAAATAAGATATTTTGCCCTTTGTGTCTGGATATCTGCACACCTTTGCTTTCCTCAGGACTCAGAAACTTCTATTCTGGTGTTCATCAGTCCTTCCTCATATATCCAAGAAACTGAAGTCATTTGCTAGATGTGACAGGATGACACTGATGGTTTGCTTTTCTGGCTGGTCACCCTTGGGCTCCAGTAGTGACTGGGCTGTGTTTTCTGCAGTTGGGAGCGCAGATGTTTCTCTTATGGAAGGTCCTATGGTTTGATAGTAGCAGGGGCCACTGGTCCTCTTGAGAGAGGCCAGCATTAGCCTCAACTCAGATTATCCCAATTTTGTGGTTGAAGAAACTGAGGCACAGAGAGGTAACTACCCAAGGCCGCAGAGCTGGAAGTAGCAGGCTGGCTCCAGACTCGACCACTTCTCTGCCTCTGTGAAGCACCTGTCATGGAAGGACCACTAGTCCTTGGCCTGCTCTTCTGTCCACTAGTAGGCCACCTTCAAGCCCACTTTACCTTCAAAGGGAGAGGAAGACGCTCACTGACCCTGCCTGCCTCCCCAGCGTGCTGCGCTGAATTTTCCTTGGGTCTCCAAACGTGCCGCGCGCTTTCCTACCTTGGTGCCTTTGCAAGTGCTACTCCTGTGCTCCTCACCTTTGCCTTACCCAGGTTTCAACGTGAACCTCATTTCTCCCAGGAAAACCTGGCCTCTCAGACTAGCTTAGTTGGCCCACTAAACAATCCCACAGCACGGGAGTGAACGCTTAACAAGTCAAATACTAATGGTCCAGAAGTCAACACGCTGAATGTGTTTACTCATTAAAAATTGCATTGGTTGCTGCAGAGGACGTGGTCTTCGTAAGGGTGAATTCCGAACAGTTCCTCACACTGCATCATGTGGGCACCAGTTTGTGACAAAGAAAAAAATGATTTTTCCAACTTTTGTTTTAGATTAAAAAAAATGAGTCAACGTGCTGTTTAGCTTAGAAAGAAGACCTGGATGGAAAGAGCCCGCGGTTCCTTTTCTCTGGGTGCTGTGGGCTTTCCAGGAGGTTCACCTGGGCAGATGGGCTTTGAGCCCCTGGTTGTCCTGTGTGGGCCACACGTGGGAAGTGTACATGACATCATCCCAGCCTCGGGGAGCCCGCAGTGTGGAGCCTTGGTGCACAGGGAACGGGACGGACCACAGTCTCAGTGTAGTTCAGAGCAAGGTTAAATGCCAGAGCGAGACACTCTCAGCAGCAGTAACCTTTCCAGTCCCTTGCAGAAAGTTGCTTTTCTAGAAAAATACAAGTGTCTCCTAAATTCAGTCTGGCTGTATATTTTTTAAACCTATAGGTGGCCACTCTAAGTTTGATTCTCTGATTTAAGGTCCAAACGTGTGTGTGGCTCTTGCCTGGCTCCCTAGGGAGAGCGGGCTGCTGAGCAGTGTGTCTTGCAGAATGAAGAGGAGATCTTAGTGGAGTGTCGCGTGCGATTCCTGTCCTTCATGGGCGTCGGGAAGGATATCCACACGTTTGCCTTCATCATGGACACTGGGAACCAGCGCTTCGAGTGCCACGTTTTCTGGTGTGAGCCTAACGCCGGTAACGTGTCTGAGGCGGTGCAGGCCGCCTGCATGGTGAGTAATCCTGCTGCAGGGACTGGTTGGACCTGCATGTCCCTGCTTATGTTTCCTGGGCCCTAAGTTAGAGTAAAGTTACTAATTTAAAAGGAGAAGAATCTAAACTTTAATGCTTTACTGTATACAGAATCAGTTATAAACAGTTTGCCGTGTCAAGGGGCGAGGACACCTGAAAGGAGCAGGGCCAGATGGAGCCTAATTCTGTTGAGACCCCAGTAACATTGAAAAGGACAATCTTTGAAACCACAAGTCTGAGGGTTCTCAATTCTAGGTCCCTGATTAATTTCAGGATATGATCAGGAAATGTTGGTCGTGCATGAGTTGGTGCTGTTTGGAACCAAATTCAGTACTTTAAAAAAAATGTTGTGTATCAAATGATTTTTATTTCAGATAGTTGGTTTACGTGCATTGTTCTTACATATTTTATTTACTTTGTATCTATGAATTCAATCCTTACGACAACCCTGTTAGGCAGTTGTCAGTTTTATTTATGAGAAAATAGCAGCTAAGAGGGAAAAACAGGCCGCTGGGCACAGAGCTGGTGATAGAGTCTGCGTTCAATCCCATGTGCTGTGGGTAACAAAGCCAGTGCCTTTTGCATCATGTATGATTTCAAACAAAAACACCTTGTCATTCATTCTGCGAATATCCTTTGAGCACCAGTGATGCTGGGCACTGAGAAAGTTCTAGTGAAAATGAGGAATTGTATGAATGTCGTAGGCATCAAAACCTGGCGCGTGATATATTCTAGCAACAACAGGGTGGGTTGTTGGGACCCATGGAAGGGTGCAGGGTCCATATCATGAAGTGCTGTAATGTTGTGCCAAGGTGTTTATCTTCAGCAAATACTGTTAAGCAGGGAGAGTGATTGATCGCCGTAGGTTTTAAAAGTGCACTCGAGAACAAAAGAAAGGAAAGCAAAGTGGAAAGATGGGTTGAAAGGACTGGGCTGGCGTGGGGGGTCGACCAGGAGGCCAGGTTACTGGTTCAGATGAGGGCTGCAGAGCATGGGGACCAGAAGATGCCAAGAATCCAAGACTAGGTGGAGTTTAGAGAAAGTGAGGGAGTGCAGTGGTTTCCCAAACAGCACGTTGTTAGCTTAAGCATGAGAGGAAAGGATGGAGGTGGACGGTCGATGGCAACAGTGGGGACAAGAGAAGAGAGCTGATCGACTTTTATCATAAAGACCTTGATGGCAATGGAAAGGGCAGGAGAGGGAAGGGAAGGGAAGGGAAGGGAAGGGAAGGGA